TAGAATGTCCCTTCATCATATCTGTGTCTTCTGTAAGCAAATAACCAGCTCTTTCAATAAGGAATTCTCAGTCTACTTCCTTCTGTATCATTAACCAGCTCTTTCAATAAGGAATTCTCAGTCTACTTCCTTCTGTATCATTTTAGGCTGTATGATGTGGCTCTGCCACATAACCATAATTATCAGTTAAATATTAGGTGACAAATCCAAATGGAGCCAGCATCCCTATTCTACCAATCTAGAATTGGAATTATATGATTCTCAATTGAGCTAAGTGTTCCCCCAGTATACTGTTCTAAGGTGCTTCCTGTCACTATAATAAAACTCTGACTAAAAACAGCCTGGAGAGGAAAGGGTTTATTTAGCTTACAGCTTAGTCTATCATCAAGGGAAGCCAGGGAAAAAACTCAAGACAGGAGTTTGAAGCAGAGACCATGGAGGAAAGCTGTTTACTCCCCTGACTTGCTCAGCTTCCTTTCTTATACAGCTCAGGACAGCCTGCCCAGGGGTGACACTACCCCAGTGGGCTAGGCCCTCTCTCAGACCTATCTGGTAGAGGTATTTTCTCACTTGAGGTCCCTTTCTCCTATATGACTCTAGCTCACTGTAGAAATATTAAAACACAGCAACACAGTGGATGCCAACAGCATAGGAACTTCTTAAGAAAGGTCACACAGAATAGGAGAAATATCTTTTCTGGAGTCAGACATTCAAAGCTTTGAATCCCACCCACAGAAGTTGTGTGGCACTAAACACGTGCTTTATCCTTTTGGGCCTCGGTTTATGCATCTATAAACTGGAAGGAATCATTGCTGCTAGGCATTGTTGCCTTGGAGATTGGAGTCCATGCCCCAAGAATTCCTAGGTTCTATTCCTTTAAATCCTTATGTTGGTATTTGCCTCACTGAGGAGATTATAATTGGCAGGGTAGCTATAATTACTGACATAACTATAAAGAGTCGGGTTTAAATGTTTCCAAAATAAAGCTAAAACCATACAAACTCTATGGCTAAGAAGAGGCTAGTGAGATAGCTCAGCAGGTAAGAGACTTACTGTGCAATCCTGTGATTTGAGTATCATCTCTGGGATCCCATAAAGGAAAGAGAAAATCAGAAAACCAATTCACAAAGTCGTCCTCAACCACACATGTCATGGTACATGAAACACACACACACACAAATAAATAAATGTTTGTTTTTCCTTATTATCAAACATAAAATCATCTCCAGTAGGATAAGCAAAAAAGAACTGGATCTTTTCTCCAAAACTTAAACAGAATTATTATATAACCCTATAATTACACTTTTATGTGTATACACAAAAGACTGAAAGGAGAGAAAGAAGTATGTATGTATGCGTGTTCATATCAGGCCTTTACACAACAGCTAAAATAGAAACAACAAACATTAATGAATAAATGAATGGGAAAGCATATAGTAGTAGATATATACAAAGAAATATTTGGCATGAAATACTGATACATACTGTAATACAAATGAACATCTGAAACATTTTGCAAAGTGAAAAAGGTATACCCAAAACATCACTTATCAGTAGTTCTGTTTACATGGTATATCCAGAATAGATAAATCCATAGAGGCAGAAAATAGATGGATGTTAACCAGAGGCTGAGAGTAGGAGGGAAGGGGGAACCTACTTTATAGGTAAAGGGTTTTACTTGGCAGAAATAGATACAACAATTGCTCTCTCACACACACTTCCCAGTTTTCACATATTGTGTCCTCCACACAATACTCCCCCACACTAGGATCAGCCACATCCACTTCTACCTTTTACCTATTCTCCCAAAGGAAAGCCTCACAGAGCTTTACACCCAGTGGCATAAGCCTCGATTATGTGTTTCCTTAGCAGCCATGCTTCCCTTCATGGTAGTTATTAGTCTCACAACCAGCCTGAGACCAGGACTGTGTTTTGTGTATATCTTTTCATAGTCTAGCACCATAAACTATAACATTTTTTAAAGAACAAATAAATAATTAGTGACAGACACTAGGGTATGATATACCACTATAAAAAATACAATTCTTTGACAGGTTGTTGTTGTTTTCTTTATCATTTTTTTCTCTGATTGACTGTAATTGGCAGATATGTAACTGTGGGTCTTTGTTGGCTTCCTGGTACACCCAGGGAAAAATGTTGTCCCAAGATTTGCAAAGGGTAAAGAGTAATTGTCACTTTTAAGCCATGAAAGCAATGTGATGTTAGCATAGCTCCCCAATACTTTAGTGACAATGGGCTCCTCTGTCTCAGGAATTACACAAAAATCTGTAAAATAAGCTTCAGAAAGAACAAAGAACTGACCTCTATCCTTTCACACATACGCCCTCTAGTGCCAAGAACTAGCAAATATGCTAAAGTAGAAAATTAAAACCAGATAGAGCTATTTCACTGGTCTCTTTAAAAATGCACTGGAATCATCTGCAATAGAGAAGAAGACTAACTGTGTGAGCATAGCATATGCATTCTCTTCCATTTATGACAACCAAACTGTCCATAGAGATGAACCTGGAAGCCCACCAAAGAAACCAGCAAGTATCTTTGCCTTCTGCTGGGTATTTATCACCTTGGCGCTGAATCCGCACTATTCTTCTACCACTCGCTAATGAGGTAATTTCACACAAATTACTTGAAAACTGGAAAAGAAGTAATGGCTTTATTATGTGTGTGGTTGGCAAGAAGTAGTGCTTATCTAAACTTGGTGAGCACAAAAGTAAAAAATAATAAAAGTGGTCCTCTATGAGGATAAACTGGGACTCAGCTGTCAGCCTTTGAGCTATGAATAAACTAGCTTACTTCAGAGTAACTACATTTCTAACGCTCAGGCCACTTCACAGCAGTGGCATAAGAACTGATGCTTTTGGCTGCATTGGTGAACGGCGAAGAGTTCCTGCCTGGAAAGAGACTTAAATGGACTAATAACTTATTGTGTGGCTCAAAAACTTTTAAAATTTCTTGAGTCCACTGTATGAAACGCAAAATCTTTATTCATTCTTTTTAACCTCTATTTTCCTTAATTCTACCCACCATTCATGTATTCCTTTACCCCTATCAAACGGTTTCTTAACTAAATTATGACCATATTTTGAACACTCACAGATTCATTATATATATCAAAGGCTTGTTATGGATGAGCTGGCCACTATGTTAAGTACTACAGACTACAGCAATAGATGTGTTACCACCCTGCTGAAGGGCATAGATAAGCTCTTGACAGGAAAAGATTGTGTTCTGAACTAAAACACCAAATGTGCACAAGGCATAGCATCTTCATGAGATGGCATTTCAACTGGGATCTGACCATTATGAAGAAGTTGGTCCAATACCTTAGAAAATGTTCTCCAAGTCGAGAAAGCATCATACACGAAGGCCACAAATAAGACCGAGATAAATAAAGTGTGCTTGCTCACTCCAACCCCTATCTTAGACCCTGTGTCCTACTATCTCTGCTTAATAGAAATTCTTGAAAACAGGTTAGAATCCTACTTCTCCCCTCTTTTCTAAATTCTTTTATTAGTGTACATTCACTGTATATGTGATGGGTTTAATAATGGCATTCTTGTTCAAGAGTATAATGACGTTTTTACTCCCCATTAACTGCTCCTGTTACCCTCTGCTTCCTCTTTCCTAATAGCTCCTCCCCTTCTATTTTATGCCATACACATACACACCCCCAAATTGCACATATGAGGAGACCCACAGGGTTTTTGTATTTGTGTATCTGTCTTACTTTGCTTAAGATGATACTGTTGCATTCCCTCCACCCAATGTCATGAGTTTGATTTTCTTTATAGCTGAAAAAAACTCCATTGTGCACATAATAATTCTTATTCATTTGTTGATGGATTCCTAGGCTCCTCTTTAGCTTGGCTATTGCAAATACGGCCAACATCTCACTCTCAGCTGGACTAGAAAATTAATTGTTTAAACACTTACATGATGCTAAGGTATTACTGTTTCCTATGAAGTTTATTCTCTACATTCTCCTATTTTCTCTATTACAAGTTCTTGGAGAGCAGAAATCCTTGTAATCCCCACATAGCCTGGTATAAATTTCTGTACAGCAAAAACTTGAATTGTTGTTGAATTAGTTCTTTGTTCTTCAAAATATTAATCTTTAAATCTAGCTGGCATTCCGATATTTCTGTGAATGAAATTGGAAAATATTTAAGTCTAAAGTGCTTCGCTTGAATACCAGGGAACCACCCGCCGCAGAGGGGAACAGTGTACCTCCTGCCTTTGTCCCTAGTGCTCACGACAGAATCATTTTTATTTCCTTCCATGTGTAATCTACTAAGGCACTTGCTGTTGGGAACCAAGTTTTATTTTTAATGAGTCTCAGTGCTTGAAATGGTGGTTGGTAGGTAGCTGATTCCCACAAAGTTGAAATCTAGGTAAGCCACTGATAACTAGTACCTTGTTTTCAAGGTTTTACCAGGTGGAGCAGTGACTATGGTAACTGAAGTCAAAGAGGGGTAAATCATGAATAATAGCGACCCAGTAAGTGGAGAATTTTCGTTTCCCTGAAGAAAAGGCCTAAAACAGTTGGTCCTCCAATGCACCAGAGGGCCAAGCAGAGAGACGCGAAACTGCAAATGTGTGCTGCGCTTTGGACTTCCACAGGCCTTCTGGACCAAGATAGAACGCGGTCTCATCCCCACAATCCTCAGCAGCGAGGACTACGGGTCCCATGATGCTATGCGGCTACACAGAATTCGGTCTGGGAAGCTTGCTATGGGACTAACTCGCCGCAAGCAAATGGGCGCCAGAAGGTTCTCAAAGACCCCGGTTTCTTAGGGCAGTAAAGGCGGGAAGAGATGGGGAAGGGACAATGGGCTAGGAGGATAAGCTCTGAGTCGTGTGAAGTGTGGAAGAAAAAACCCGCAAGTAGGTGCTGTATTGACAGACCGGAAACTACATTTCCCAGCATCCTTATGGAGAGAGAACTTCATCGTCCGAAAGCCTCTGCGAGAATCAACGCGCATTCCGCTTCCCCTTGCTGACCCGGAGCTCCGAGAGTATGAGGAGCCGCTGGATTTGGCGGTTCCTGCGCCCTGACGGCAGCGGAATCCTCTGGACTTCAACTCCCCGTGGGCGACTGTCACCCGCCCTGCGGAGAGGTGAGACTGAAAACTCGCTCAGGGAGAAGGTTCGGGCGGGTGTGCCTGCTCAGGCGTCCGCGAGAGTGACACACCCCCTACAGGGCCCCGCCCACCCGCGCAAAGCCACCCGCGAGGCTCCGGGGATGGCGTGTCGTGTCGCGAGCTGAACCGACGGGGTCTGGAAGGAGGGCTTCCTTCCTCTAGACCCAGCCTCTGCTCGGCTTCTGAATTGGTGGGGACGCGGGGCGGCCTTCTGTCTCATAACGTTAATGAACTCTTAGGTAGTTTGCGAGTATCCTGATTTACAAATCACATTTTTTTTGTTTTTAAGTACTCTGGAACCTATGTTTCCAAACACTTGGCCCCTTTATTAGTCCTTATATCCTACACAATATCTTACTTTACTCTCAGCGCTATTTCCAAGGGTTTTTTTATACTTTTGCTTTTCAATTTTTCCACCGTAAAAGGCATCCCAGCTTCCATATTTTGTTCTTCCTGGATCTATGATGACAAACTGAGTTATTCAGTACTCAAACACACTTCTCCCTCCACACTTGTGTGGTTTTGTTGTTTGCCATTGTTTTGTTTTTTTAACCTGTTATTTAATTTTATTTATTCCACTGACTTGCAGTCAAGGCTGCCCTTGTAAGACTGCGGTTTAACTACTAGAATTCGTCACATCTTTGATTTATGTATTTGGTTAGTTAGTATACACATTCTGGTGGACTTTTCAAAAAAGGATGGGGAGGTGGGTCCACTGGTAAAAGCATGTGCTGCACATGCATAATAACACAAAACCGAATCCCGGATAGCCTCATAAAAGGCCCTTGCTGTGGCTCTCAGCCAGCTCCAGGTTCAATGAAAGCTGCCCTTTCAAAGAATTAGGAGGGACATGACAGCAGGAGCCTCCTCTGGCCTCTCCTTAGGTATGTGTACCCTCACACACAAAGGGGTTACATTATTTTTGAATCTGAGAAAATAATTCAAATCTCAATTTATTTGTGTACCTTTACCAAAAATATAACACCCCAGGAAAATGTTAATATTTTAATACAATTGTTAAGTTATTCCACTTGAGTCTGATTACTCTTGAGGAAAGCTTATCTCCTCTTAAAATTAGTGCATGGTTTGTGTCCCTGCTTACTATATAGACAAATAATGTTATAGCAAATTTGAAAGTTGATCATTATCTTATGGAAATTACTTATTTAGTCCAACACTCTTTAAAAGTAAACAGTGAAATGCAGAAGAAGCTGTGATTTGTCTAAATGCTTTTGTTGATGTGCTATAGGCTGAATTTGTTACTACTATCCGCACTTAGCAGTACATAGAAACACTACAGATGTTTCTTCTAAGCACAGATTGCCAAGCCTTATGACTAGAAGTACTGAATTAGTCCTCAGGTGGAGAGGGGCATTTTTATTCATTTTATTTGCCGTAGATTCTCTGAAGCAACATACACAGCATGCCAGTAGATTATAATGTAAGAATGTATTCTTTGGAGTTGTTTGTTTGAGATGAGTTTCTCTGTGTAACCTCAGCTGTCCCTGGAGCTGTAGAGCAGGCTGGCCTTGAACTCACAGAGATCCACCTGTGTCTACCTCCTGAGTGTTGGGATTAAAGGCACGCACCACCACCGACTCCCTGAGAATATATGCTTTAATGCTTATTCTTTGAATTTTTATAGAAAAATAACAAGGCAGGACCAGGCAAGGTAATTCTGCAGGCAGAGGTATTACTGCCAAGCCTGATGACCTGGGTTGTGTCCTGGGACTCATGTGATGAAAGAAGAGAACCAAGTCCTGAGAGTTGTCCTCTGACCTCCACACTTCTTTCCTCGTGGACAAACGCACATACATACATCCTCACACAAATATACAAACAAGAAAACTAACCAATTATGTCATTGCAGTGCTTCAGTTCTAAAAACAGACAACTTAAATTAATAAAACTTGCAATTTAAATTTAGTGAACTCTACTTTATGTGCCTTTTTATAAAGTAAATTTCAGCCTTTTCCAACATTTTCTACAAGATAGGCCAGAGATCCATAGTAGTAGTTTTGTAAGTTGTAATTTTGAATTTGTTTTCTCACTATAAACACACAAGATGAGTGTGAAAAATTAAAATGAAGAGAAATATGTTTGGTTTTGTATAGATGTCAGATGTACTCTTGTTTTGTTTTTCAAAATAGGGTTTCTCTGTGTAGCCCTGGCTGTCCTGGAACTTGCTCTGTAAACTAAGTTGGCCTCAAACACTCAAAAATATGACTGCCTCTATGCTGGAATTAAAAGCATCCACCACCACTGCCTGGTGTCAAATGAACTCTTTTTTTTTTTTTTTTTTTTTTTTAAAGATTTATTTATTTATTTTATTTATGAGTACACTGTAGCTGTCTTCAGACACACCACTAGAGGGCACTGAATCTCATTACAGATGGTTGTGAGCCACCATGTGGTTGCTGGGATTTGAACTCAGGACCTCTGGAAGTACAGTCAGTGCTCTTAACCACTGAGCCATCTCTCCAGCCCTCAAATGAACTCTTAAGGAGTGCTTCAAATTGCTCATGTCACAATCAGGCCAGTGATCATAATACCTTATTGGGAATATTCAAAGACCTTTCAGAGAAATGAAACAGACATCTTCCCCCACTGAAAGTCCTGTTGCCAAAGACTGTATCAACACCCACATCAGAGAAATGAGCAAAGTCACATAAAGAAATAAATGTGGAGAGATGGCTCAGCAGTTAACGACACTTTTTGAAGACCTGACTTTGGTTCCCAGCATCCACCTCAGGCAGCACTTCTAAATGCATGTAACTCCAGCTCCAGGGGATCCAGCACCCTTGTAGCTTTCCATGGGCATGCTCACAAGTGATATACATTCACATAGATGAACACATACATTTAAATAAAAAAATTTAAATCTTTAAGAATACTCCATACATATTTCATTATTCTCACACTATCATAAATAGAATCCAAGGTAGAAATTCCAGTGTTGCATGCCTTGCTGAATTTTGCCTTTTCTGTTTATCTATCTGGCTTACTTCTCTAAGATTTCACATAACTCTAGTATCATTTCCAGATAGTCTTTATTCCCACAGAGGACCAAATGGATATATTTTGAAATCACATCATAAGAACTACAACCTTAAAGGTTCAGAGAAGAAGTGAAAAACCTTACAATCTTCTGCTACCCAGAAGGCTGAAATAGAATCATCTTTTGCCCAGCAATCTGAGGCAAACTTGAACTAGTCTTTGATCTCAAAACATCATCACTGTACATACAATGCCAAACACAGTTCCTTGTTTTAACACATATCTTTAGAGCAGCTACAGCTGTTGGGCACTGGGAAGTCAGTAGAGATCAAGAACAGACATGGTGCCCCTACTCTCAAGGTTTACTTTGGTGATTAACAAACTTTGTGAAAGGGCAGATAGTAAATGTTTTAGGTTGTGTGGGCCATATGGTTGATTATAACTTCTCTGTCATTGTTGTATCAAAGCACTCATAGATAATAATTTCAGTTAAGTTTTATTTATGGAAACAACTTTGAAAACTGGGTGTTGGTAGCCTGGTGGCTGTGGAGTTGACTGATGCCTGATCTAATGAGGAACTTAAAAATTAACAGCTACATAAATAAAAAGATTGTGAAAAGGACTGTTACAAAGTACTTTAAATCTCGAAAAACCAAAAGAAAAAAAAAGTACTTTGAAAACTCATTAGAAGAGATCTGACCTCAGGAATCCTTGTACACTTCTCATCAGCAGACACATTTGTGCAGCGCTCTCAAGAATGAATATGAACAGGCAAAAGAGAGCTTTCTGAACACAGGGTAGGCAAAGGCCCCAGGAAGGAAAAGCAAGCAGATGGCATGTTTGTAGATAAAGTCTAAGAGCCAGAAAGCATAGTAGGATATGAGGTCAGCTGTACCCTACAGAGATTTGTTGGTGATGTTAAGGTCTCTATCTATCCCAAGAGTTGATTTTTGTGAGGCATTCATTATTTGTTGGCTGAAGTCAGGAACTGTACTAATTTGACTGCCCATGAAACCTAAGATCTGAGACAGCACACTTGCCTCTGAACATCACTTTTTCCTATCAATAAAATGAGAATTTAAAAAATTTAATAAGCATGAAAACATTAAAATATATAAACATTTCTGATTCTTTTCTGAGTGAACTTCTAAGGAAGCGGTAACTAAGAGTACCAAATCATTACTCCTAATGCAGCTGAATAGGACAGCTACTAAAATCTATACTTCCGAGTTTTATTTTCTCTACTTTACGTCTCACACACAAAAACATCTGTTTTGTTTCATTTTTTTTAACTCTTTCTAGATGACACTCTGCCAAAAAGGCTACTTTGCTAGTATATTTTTAAAGCATTGTTCTGCCTTTCCAACTGCCTTTATCTCTTTGATTAAACATAGGTGAGTCTGATTTTTTTTTAATAGTACCAAGCATTTTAATATAACCTTAATGGTCTAACAAACCTTCCAAATGGAAAGAGATACAAAATAAAGTTCACAGATCCAATTTCACTTGTACTGATACGCTTTAGCATCACTGATTTACCAGGTCAGTTCGCCAACTTTGGGCTAGCCCACCTGATACACATTAAGGGGGTGAGCTCTCGATGGCTAATGCTAAGGTCTCAGAGATCCCTGGAGCAGCCAAAGACACACAGTGGCACAAACCATGGCTGTATCAGTCCTCTTTCTGCTCTTTAGCACTGATACCTCAGGGTTCCCTTGCTATAATGAGCCTGCCTACAGATGATTTCCTTGGAGATACACAGCTAAACCAAATTAAGAATATTAAATCTCATAGACATGACCTCATATAGGAAGTATTTGTTTACTGAACTGAAAAGTTAACTTTTAAAAATATATGTAGTCTTTTTGAAATGCAAGGCACCAGCAGGAGCAGTCATTCCAGCAAGAGTGACTGAGGAAAACAGAGCCAACTAGTTGTTTGTCCTGTTGATCAGAACACTTCCTTTTCCTGTCTATGCGACATCTTCCAGATAGTCAGCGACATCACTGAGCTGGGAAACAGTCAGGTCCTGTGTGAGGTCATCGAGTTTATCACTGGTGTTCACGTCCTCTACTCCCATGGAAAGATCTTCTTCAATTTCTTCACCAATACTTAGCTCCCTTTTTTCTGAGCGATGGCTAGCACTATTAAAATCATCAACATAGTCCTCATCTTCTCCAGTCCCTAGCCCAAGTGATCCAGTTTTCTCACCAACCAATTTTAGATCCTTCAGGACCGTGTTTCCTCTTTTACTCTCAGGATCTGTTAGTGAAGGGGCCCCTGCCAGGGAGCTGAGGTCACTCCGTAAGTGGGGTTTGTCAGACAGTGAGGCCAGACCTCCACTTGCTTCCTAGGCTCACTTCTCCAACCATAGGTTTTTCTGGTTTAGGAATGGGATCGTCAAAGAAAGAATCTCCTTCCACGTCATCTTCATCTAGACAAACAGCACCTTTGTCTTTGTCTAGCTTAAGGAGCTTCCTTGAAGGGTGAAATGTTCCCACATTGAAGGGAACTTTAACACAAGTACCCTTGTGAGTCCTAAACATACAGTATGAAAAGTACAGCCAAGGTAGCATAGGGCTTCTAGTCTGGATCAGAAAGAAAACAATTACCTATTAACTGTTACAGCTGAAAACTGGGAAATAAATGATATGGGTACGGATGGGAACAGAAGGTAAGAACACACACCTTCAAAGGTTTTGTAAGAAACTTTTTTTTTAAAGATTTATTTATTTATTTATTTATTTAATGTATATGAGCACACTGTAGCTGTCTTCAGACATACCAGAAGAGGGCATCAGATCACATTGCAGATGGTTGTGAGCCACCATATGGTTGCTGGGAATTGAATTCAGGACCTTTGGAAGAACAGTCAGTGCTCTTAACCACTGAGCTATCTCTCCAGCCCCCTGTAAGAAACTTTTGAGCACTGAAGAAAGTGGGGCAGATTCTGCTTCCCCATAGTTAGGGTAGAAGCAGTGGCATCTAAAGCAGTTAATATACATATTAGGATTTAGACCAATTCTTTTTTTTTTTTTTTTTCAGAGCTGAGGACCAAATCCAGGGCCTTATGCTTACTAGGCAAGTGCTCTACCACTGAGCTAAATCCCCAACCCCGAAGATCAACTCTTAAATTAGTTTTAAATGGTAAAAGAAGAAAATGAAATATCCATTAATGTTTGCCATATACAGGATAACATCAGACATTTCTGATGAAAGGGGTTGAGAAGAGTCAGTTAATTTGGGTCAAATACAGGACACCTAATTGGGAAACTAGAATTATATTTAAATACATGAGGAGAGCTCTTTAGAAGCCAAAGTGTGATTCACTGTAAATTATTACAAGATAACACTGTTTTCTTTTTTCAGGTTTATTGACCACCACAACTAGGTCGAGTTATGATAGAAGACCAGTGGACATAACTCCTTTAGAACAAAGAAAACTAACTTTTGATACCCATGCATTGGTACAGGACTTGGAAACTCACGGTGAGAAACATGAATACTTGAAAGAAGAAAATTAGCAGCACTCATAATAAATCCCTAAGTCAGTGGCGCTGCTACCAACAATAAGAGGGATTATTAAAAAGAATGCTTGCCATACACTGAGATGTTTTATAATCACTTAAAATTATTGTTAAGAAGAGATTTTTTTAAAAAGCATAGGATAAAATTATATGCACAAAATGATTCCAGTGAAGTTAAAAAAAAACATTTTTAGGCTAATACTAAATTCTGGATGGAAATATAAATGTTGAAGAATAAAAAATTAATAAAATATTTCCAGATATGGTAATATATTACAAGGGAACAACTGATAAGACAGTGCAGAGTGGTATTCAGAAATACTGAATCTGCTTACTAAAGTTCTAGATAAACCTAAATGTCTTAGGAATCAATAAAAGAAAGTTTAGTAATTTTATAGAAAAGTAGGCAAAGGCCATAAAATAGTGCACAGAAAAATAATAAAAATATATCCACCTGCTTAACTTCATTATCAACCAAGTACTAAACTGAAGAACAAATGAAAATAATGAAATATTTTTTTGGTAGTGAGTATATAATTGACAATTTTATTGTAGATCAATTTTGTTGTAGATCAAATTATATTAGGAATTGCAGAGTACTTTTGAAATAAGATAGCATTGTCCATCTTTTCATTGTAACTGTTTTAAGTACAATAGTCAAACTATTGAAAGTTTGTTAGCTGTCTCTTCTGCTAGTGATGTACATGTTTTAAAATGCAGATTTCTTTGTATGCAGGATTTGAGAAAACACAAGCACAGACAATTGTATCAGTACTATGTACATTATCAAATGTCAGCCTGGATACTATCTACAAGGAGATGGTGACTAAAGCTCAACAGGTAATACGTTCATTTATATCTCTCCTGGTAGTTTCATTACATAATATTTTCCAATGAAGGAGGAAAGGACAAATTAGAAAGGCTTTTCTCAGTCTTTTTAGAAGAATTGGAGTGTTCCTAACAAGAGTACTTGATACCTAGAGTGCAATTCAGTCATCATCCCTTGTGTGAGATTAATGTAGTATTTCAATCATGGTGGTAGACTGTAGTGAAGCAAAACTCTCCAAAGTAAGAGAGCTAGCCTTCCTATATGATGCATATACTGTTTTCATGGGTCGTGCCAGGGTTAACTTTTACAGACTTCGTAAGCTAGAAGGCTTCAAACGTTTGTAGAATGCCAGGGTTAACGTTTACAGACTTTGTAAGCTAGAAGGCTACAAACGTTTGTAGAATGGCTACAAACGACTTTATAAATGACCTGGCTGAAGTGTTTAAATCTGATGGGATATAAAATTCTTAAAAAAAAAATGAAACATTATTTACTGGGAGTGAGGATGCATGCCATAGCACAAGTGTAGAGGTCAGAGGACAGCTTTCAAGAGTTGATTCTCTTCCACCAAGTGAGTCCCGGGGATTGAACTCAGGTTGTGAAGCTAAGGCAGCACACATGCTTACCCACTAAGCCATTTTGTTGACCTATGCATGGAATGAGTGATTTTTAAGACTTCATATTTCAATGATAATGGATAAAAAACAACCAGACACTGAACTGTTTTAAAATCTGTTTTCTTCTTAGACTTACTTTTATTTTATTTTTTTCAAGTATAGTCTTTTTCGTTCAAATGATTATTTCATAACCATAAAAATTAAGATTTCTTACATAAAATTAGAATCTACTTCATGCAATTTAGTTATTTTAAGGGATAGAGAAAATTCAAAGCTCTTAAAGATTTTTACTATAATGCTTAGTTTGCTAGACATTTAAAACACCTATCTCTTACATTTAACTTTCTTTTCAATTTTGCATTATTTTTAGCTTATCTTATTTCAGGATCATCACAAACTAGTAAATTAAAAAAATGGAAAAAAATGGCCAAGCATTTAATTAATTCTCCCAAAGTTCTGCTATGTCTTATAGAGAGCTATTCAAAAGAGCTATTGACATTTTCAATAAAATAACTTACTATTAAATTTTAAGCCTGCTTTTTGTGCAAGCATGAATTTAGAACTATGATTTGAGAACTATTCCTGCTGCCAGAACCACTTAGTCCTGCATACTAAAAATAACACTCAATGTAGAAATGTTACTATTAAACTTTTGACTTTTAAAAATACTGGTTTGCAATGTTCAAAACACACTGTTCATCTAGGAACCTAATCCCACCTCTAGGATAAAAGACTTTAATCTCAAATAATGAAGGTGAAGTTAGTTTTTAGAAGGAAGTAGCCATGTTTGAAACTGATATCTAATGAGTGGCAGACAAAGTGATGAATCAGAGAAAGATCTGACAGAATAGGATATGCCCAACTTTCACCAAAAGAGAGAAAAAAGAAGTTATTTAAGAGAGAGCAGCACAAAGAGAAGGGAGAGGGGGGCAGTTTTACTGGGACAGTGGTAAAGACAGGTTACAGAAGAGAAAACAAGCTAGATATAGGTGAAGACAGAACAAGCCAGAGAATAAGAGCCAGAAGATTAGAACAGATTGCCAAAGTTAGTATGAAGCCAGACAGAACAATTCAGTCAGAAATTCAGAGAAGCTGTATTGAATCAGTCAGCTTTGGAGAGAAATTTGAGCCAGAATAGCTGAGTTGAATCAGCCATAGATCAGAAAGGACAAGGAAGGGGTGAGATTAGCAGTAAGTCTCAGAGGCTGAAAACATTCTAGGCCTAAATAAGATTGTACAGAGGCAACAAGCTTCCAGGATTAGGCCTAGGTTAACAGACAAAGAAAGGCATTAATCCTCAGACATGACAATTGTATCAGGTGAGCAAAAGTTACTTTTACATAAAGATTATGAATTTTAGACCCTTGGAAGACTAAAGTATCATAGCTTTCAGAGATGTCTGAGATTGCTGTGCCCTCTGTTATAAAAAACTGAAGTCAGTTTTCAGTCTTTCTCACCTGTATCAATCAGCAGGGGACTATAACTTTAAAAATGGACTAGTAGTGGCTCTTTTTGCTTAGACCTTTTTCTTTATTAAGAAGCCCTGATATGTAAGCCTGTTCTCAAGATTACACTGTCTTCCTTTACCTTTCTGTAAAGAGAGAAATTATGAATCTAAGCTGACTGTGGAAACAGATCTCTTTGTAGGGTTGCTATGAGTCACTTCTGCAGAAGTGTTCTGCTCAGTGTACTTGGTGCACACCAAGGCTGAGGTAAGAGGGTCAAGAATTGGGTTTAAAACATTAAACTTAATTTTTCCCATTTGTACAGAGACTCATTACAGAAACAAAGTATTCTCTAAGTATTTTTTTAAAGTTATATAGAGCAAAACCTTTTCTGCAAAAACAAGCTTATAGTCCTTTATAAAGCAAGTGCTTATGATGTCAGGTAGGAGTTTCCTTTTCTTTCACATTTACTCTGCAGTGCCAAATACAGGAAAGGGACCAGGACGTTTAAACAAAACTAACTATGCTGTGTTGAAAAGGGACAATTATTGCAACTGTTTATCTTATTTTTTTTTTGAAAAGACAATCCTCTGACTCCTATTCGATTTCTTTGTATTTTCATATATGGTAGAAAAGACTCTCAAAATCAAAACACTAAAATATTAGTAACAAACAAAACCAAGAGGGTAGAGAGAGGACTTAGAGAAGAGCATTGGCTGCTGCTCTTCCAGAGGTTCTGAGCTCAATTCTCAGCAATCACATGATGGCTCTCAACCATCTATAATGGGTTCTGATTCCCTCTTCTGGCATGGATACATACATACATACATACATACATAAATATCTATCTATTTAAAGGAAAAAAACCTGAAACTCTGTTGAGGAACTCATAGAGGCTAAGTAAGCATTTTTGTTGGGATACTCTTCATTAAAAGACCTAGATATTTCTTTTCACTGGAAGATCAGGTTTTCTTTCTTGAATTTCCTCATTTTTATTTTGTTATTTCAGATATGTGAGTTTCATGTGTATTTTTTCTTAATCAGTAATTATACCTGTTAACATGTTGACATTCTTTTAAAAAAATCTATAAAATAATTCAAAAATAAAAGGATGCCACTACTGCATATGTCACTCAGTTATTTTTACTTTATTTTCTAGGAAATAACAGTCCAACAGCTAATGGCTCATTTGGATTCCATCAGAAAAGACATGGTCATCCTAGAGAAAAGTGAATTTGCAAATCTGAGAGCAGAGAATGAGGTGATAGAATTTTTAACTTACTAGTAGTGATGACAAGTATGCTAGTAAATAACTTAGTAAAACCAAGTATTACAAGTTTTTAAATTAAAAATTCACTGTTTAGAGCTGGGCATGGTGATGTACACTTAATTCCAGCACTTAGGAAACAGACAGGTGAGTATGTGTGGCTCAGGCCAGCCTGATCTACATAGCACATTCCAGACCAACTAAAGCTAAAGTGGGATCCTAACTCAAAAAACAAAAGTCACTGTTTAAAAGATTAAATTAGATTACCTAATCTTCATCTCTAAACTGGTTTCTTGCATACTGAGTGCATATTGTAAGTTGTTTATGTAAAAAAAATCATAGAAAAGGGGAAGGATCTGAGCTCTAGTATTATATAAATTTTCTAGTATAGTTTATCATATATTGTTTTTAAAATTAAAAGTACTATGATATTTTCCATTGTATTTAGTGCTGTGTTGTCCTTTTAAATGTTATTTTAAAGTTCTGTTTATGTGTGTGGCTATATGTATATGGGTGCAGGTGCCAAAAGAAGGCATCAGATCCTGTGGTATTGGAGCGACAGGCAGTAGTGAGCAACCTAACTTGGGTGCTAGAAACCTGAACTCCAGCCCCCTAGAAGAGCAGTAAGCACTCAACCACTGAGCCATCTCTTTAGACCACCCACCCCAAGATGTACTTTTGAAACAGCTTAAAGTTTAAGATTTATTTGGGGGATAGCGGCTTAGGAGGGGAAAAGAGAGGGGCTATAGAAAGAGACATACCTATAGAGGTCAGAAGAGGATGTCAAATCCCCTGAAACTGGGGTCCCAGGCATCTGGTCCAACTCAGGTCCTCGAGAATAGCAGCAAGCAGTCTTAACCACTGAGCCATGTCTCCAGCCCTATCTTAAATATTTTTAAATTTAAAAAATAAATTATTTTAAAAGTAAAATCTAACACCAAAACTGTTTTGTACCTAAAATATATTTAATGAATACAGTGATCTGTTCTTTTTTAAAATCATAGTTCTGTATTTAAAAAAATCCATAGATACCCAGATTTTGCTAATCTAAGTTTTCAAACTTTTAAAATAATCACAGGGACTTTTGGATTGATCCTAACTGTCACCTCTTTTGCACCTAGAAAATGAAAATCGAACTAGATCAAGTTAAGCAGCAGCTGACTGTAAGTGAAATTTACTCCACTAGTTTGAAAACAAATACCCATTACAAGATCATTTTTAACAATACTAATTTCCTTTAAAGAATGAAACCAGTCGAATCAGAGCAGATAATAAGCTGGACATCAACCTGGAAAGGAGCAGAGTGACAGACATGGTAATGTGCTTCTTAAAATTTATTTTATTCATTTCTCTTTTTTTCTCTTTAGGGAGGGGAGGGTAATGAGGAGAGAGGGAGAGCAGGAGCAAGGGGACTGAGCAGGAGCAAGAAAGCAAGAGCATTTTATTCATTTCTTGTGTGCATGCCCAGTAGTGTGTTTTTAAAAGATAATTTTTACTTATGTATAGATGTAAGTATGGTGTGTATCCATATGTTATGTATCCACCTAAGAGGTGGATATATCCTCAGAGGTGTCAGATCCCCTGGAGCTGGTGTTGCATACAGTTATGAGCTGTCCAGTGGGGATGCAGGAAATCAGAAACGGCAGCAAGTCCTCTTAACCTGCTGAGGTATTTTTCCAGCCCCTCCAATGGTGTTTTTAAATGAATGTTCTTGTTCTATTTATTCTCTTTTAAGTTACTTATAGCCATTTTTCATTGCTGCTGTTGTTCTAATACATGTAGAAGTGAGAGACAACTTTACAGAGGCAGTTCTCTTCATCTGCTTGTGGGCTCCAAAGATCCAACTCCGCTTGCAGACTGGGCAGCAGGCGTCTTTCCCCACTGAGTCATCTTGCTGCCCATTTTTTCTTTTAATCTGCTTCATATCCTTTAGTTCACAGATCAAGAAAAGCAACTTATGGAAGCAACCAATGAATTTGCTAAAAAGGTAAGGTTAGTATGTAGAAATTTCTCTTTCATATATCATATGCTTTTGTATGTTTCAGTTTTTAAGTTTGGATTTTAAATACCTAGCCCTATAGAATCTGAGTTCTTCACTGCTGTCACAGTTTGCCATCACTTTGTGGAAAGCTGCTCTGTGGAAATGGGGGTACTTGAGCTGCTACCTTGGAGTAGGAATTAAAGCTTTCTAGGGCCACAGAGATGACTCAACATACCACACTTACAAAGGACTGGAATTTGGTTCTCAGCATGCACATCAGGCAGCTCACAACTATCTGTACCTCTGTTCCAGGAATCACAGACCTCATGCCTCCAACACATATCCACACACAGACACACAATGTCAAATAAAACAAAGCTCTAAAAAAGGGGGGAGGAGCTAGAGAGAGAAGGCTCAGTGGTTAAGAGCACTGACTGCTCTTCCAGAGGTCTTGAGTTCAAATCCCAGCAACCACATGGTAGCTCACAACCATCTCTAATGGGATCTGATGCCCGTTTCCAGTGTGTCTGAGGACATCCACAGAATATTCATATAAATAAAATAAATCTTAAAAAAAGAAATGATTAAAAAAATGGATTAAGGATTGGGCAACAGTCCCAGCACTTGGGAGCCAGAGGTAGATCTTACTGTTTATTATATACCAGATACCATTATACATTTACATGTGTCTGTTAATGTATTTAGTTTTCAGGTCAGCCTCTATGCTTACTATTATTTCTACTTCAGCAGTTTGGAAAATAATATACAAAAAGATTAAAAATCACACAACTAGTAGGTGGTAGAGTTAATAACATAGATTGTAGGGGCTGGAGATGGCTCAATGGTTAAGAGCACTGGCTTCTCTTCCAGAGGACCCAGGTTCAATTCCCAGCACCCACACGACGCTGACAACTATCTGTAACTCCAGTTCCAGGGGATCTGTCACCCTTACACAGATAACATGCAACCAAAACACCAATGCACATGAAATGAAAATAAATAAATTTAAAAGATTCTTATCAAAGTGTGATATATAATCCCAGCAGTCAGAACTGCAATGAGTTTGAAGCCAAGCCCACTACTATGCAGTTTCCTTTCTCAAATGAAGACCCCAGACTGTAAACTCGGTACTTAGAAGTCCTGTTTACATTCTCTGTAATCCTGTAATAAATCAGCAATAAGTAAGCCCTAGCTTTCTGATTTAGACTTGTCCTTTTCTTAAAAGTTCTCTTGTTCAGAATTTAGTAAGGGAATATCACCTGTGCTCTTTCAAGAATCCATTTTCTTCAACTTGTTAGCCAGAGAAAGTAGATAAACAAGGAAATGAGCAAACTGGCTTCAGCTCATGTCTGAGCTTTGTCCCTAAGCGTGCGAAGGTGCCCACCAGGTATATGCAGGTCCTTTATAGTGATCTCCGCTCACATTATAAATTTGGTTGGTATTTTTTGGCAGAATATATTTTAAAATTGTCTATGTTTAAAATGTAAATTATATTCCCAAGACTTTACATACAGAAGTGTTAGTTCTGGGACTAAAACATTTGCTTCTTACATTGTCATATACAGTTAGGTTTCGAATATCTTAGGAGATTTTCATAGGCCGTGCCCAAGAAAATTATCTCCAGATATGATATTGGAGGAATGTTTTTATCACTTGGCAGTATTCATTTACTATTAAGACTTTTTTAAAGTGCACCATTAGCACACAATTGAAGTTTTTAACATCAGTGTTTTTGTCTATAATATATAGGGATAGAACTTTACTTCTCTGTTTATTCTTTTTACAGGATACACAAACCAAAAGTATTATTTCAGAGACCAGTAATAAAATTGACACTGAAATTGCTTCCTTAAAAACACTGATGGAGTCGAGCAAGCTTGAGACAATTCGTTATCTTGCAGGTAAGTCTGTCAGAGAAATGAACTGCTACAGTGAACATTTGGATCTATTGGTTCCTCTCAGGATAACCATACCAGGGCAGAGGAAAAAAAATGAAGCTAAAATACTCCTTTATTGCTTGGTACCATTTTCCTTTTAGAAGGTTCCAGTTTCAAGATCAAAGTAGCAAGCAGTTGTGCAATTTCACTGATAGAAAAAGGTATCTGGCTATCAAGAAAATAAATAAACCCAAGAACAAAAAAATGATAAAATTAATTGGGTAAATTCTACAATGAAAAATCTACTTATTGTAAAGGTTTGAATAGCATTAGAAAGATCACAAAAGTAGATGTGGGCTGTTAAAAAACACAGCAAAAAGAGAGGAGTGGAGGGTAAGGAAACCTCTTACCTTGGACCAACTGAGCACGCAGACACTGCGCCAAATTTAGATTGGCTCATACTAGCTCTACAACTTCAGTCTGACCTAAGATTTTATGGCTCATGTGACAGGAAGAATGTGTTAAATATTACTTGTCTTTTACTTGCTTTTCATACAAGCAGTGTTTTAATTTAAATTATCTATATAATTCAGGAGCAATAAAAATCCCCTCACCTTCTTGATTTAGTATTAGTAGTTTATATCTTGTCTTTTGTAGATAAGATACACTTGTAAAAAAAAATTTACCCATTTTAGTTAACTCCATGTGTTAAAATGTTACTAATGTCGTGTCAACATGTATAACATTTTTATTACTGATAGTATTATCAGTATTACTGATAGTATTATCAGTATTACTATTATAGATAATATTTTGTTCTATCAAAATGTTATGGTTTCCCCAACAATGCTGCTTTCAGGTCTTCATCCTCAAGATCAATGCTACATATATATGCATGCTTCCTCGTTGCTGCTGTGCACATTTAAAATCGGGAGTCACACCAGGCATGGTGGCACATGCTTTTAGTCCCAGCACTTGGGAGGTAGAAAAAACAAAACAAAAAACTGGGGGTCAAAAGATACACCTATTTTAAATGTGTGTATTAACAAATTATCATAAATAAAATTCCTGATCATAGTGGTTTTCTGGCCACTCACTGTGATGTAGCAAGTTAGAAGATGAATGAGTCTCAGTCCTCAGCTGATGTATATTCCCTTATATTTTAAGGGCTCTATTTTTATTTCTTCTAACATTAGGTTCCTGTTTAAAATTCAGAGTTAAACACTAAAGTTAGGCTTTGAAAACTCCTACATTAACAAAGTCTGTAGAACCAAAGGCCTTGAGCTGATCTGTAATGCTAAGGGAAATTCCAAACAGCCATTTGGAATGTTCATTCTCTTCCAGAATCAGTCCCAAAGCAACAAAGGAATTCAGATTCTACCTGGGATTTCCCAATATTCTCCTGAATATTTACCTAAAGAGTACTGTCTTCGTCAGGGTTTCTATTCCTGCACAAAACATCATGACCAAAAAACAAGTTGGGGAAGAAAAGGTTTATTCAGCTTACACTTCCACATTTCTGTTCATCACTAAAGGAAGTCAGGACTGGAACTCAAGCAGGTCAGGAAGCAGGAGCTGATGCAGAGGCCATGGAGGGGTGCTGCTTATTGGCTTGCTTCCCCTGCCTTGCTCAGCTTGCTTTCTTAATAGAACCCAAGACTACCAGCCTAGGGATGGCACCACCCACAATCGGCCCTCCCACCTTTGATCAGTAATTGAGGAAAATGCCTTATAGCTGGATCTCATGGAGGCATTTCCTCAAGGGAGGCTTCTTTGTCTGTGATAACTCCAGCTTGTGTCATGTTGACACACAAAGCAAGCCAGTACAAGTACCATAGTTAAAAACAAAATACTGCCCAGGGTAATCCCAAAATATTGCTGGGTACTTTTAATCCCAGCAGTTGGGAGGCAGAGACAGGCAGATCTCTTGAGTTCGGGGCCAGTCTGGTCTACAGAATGAATTCCAGGACAGCCAGGGCAACACAGAGAAATCCTGTGATTGGGGAGGGGGTAACACCACAAAATCCTTTTTACTCACCAAGTTGAAGATGGTAACACTTTCCAGAAAGCTTTCTTTTAGCAGTTCATAGATATACAAGGCAAATCTAATGGACTTAGTGGTAGTCACAAAAGAAATAAGCAAGTTAGCAATTGTTTTTAATAAGATTTTGCTGTGTCTGGAGAGAAGGCTGAGTGGCTAAGAACACTGATTGTTCTAAAGGACCAAGGTTTGATTCTCAGCACCCACAAGGCAACTCACAACCATCTGTAACGCCAAGATGCAATCCTCCTCTTCTGGCCACCATAGGCACCTGGCACATACATGATGCACTGACATAAATGTAGGTGCAACTATACACATAAAAAATAGACTTTCTTAAGTCATCCCTCTTTTGTTTTGCTGAGCATCTGAAACCAGTAATACTGAAGCATCTTCTTCCTTTAAGTATGTTTTAGTACTGTTGTTACTCATGAGAAGTTTAGGAAGTCACAGTTACACATTTTTAAATAAGTAGGAAGATAAAGCACAAATGGATCTATTTGTTCTAGAATGCCTGAAATATTGTTAATAAGACAGTAAGGTTCCCTTTCTTGAAGATTGCAGGCATGGTAGGATTTGACTATCAATTTGCCCAAACCTAGGCCTAGTCTCCCAAGTATCTGGAAGTATGGGCACATGCCATCTGTGCCCAAAAACCACACCTGAGTGGGCAATTGTCTTAATGGTTGAGATGAGAGGACTCAGCCCAATGTGGGTGGTACCACCTTTGGATAGGCTGAAAGCAGGCTAAGTAAAGCAGTCAGCAACATTAGTTTTGCTTCAGTTCCTGTCTCTGGGTTCCTGCCTTGAGTTCCTGCCCTGTCTTTCCTGGAGTGATTGACTGTGACTTAAGAGTTGTTGAACCCTTTTCTCCCTTAGCTGTTTTGGTCATGGTGTTTATCACAACAGTAGAACCCCTAAGACTTGATATTAGTAACTTTGAAGCACTGCTTATATTTTCTGACACAACACCTATATTTTTTAATTATTTTCATTTTTACTCTCTAAAATATAGGAAGCTACTGATATAACAGTTGCCTTTACAAATGCCTTTTATCCTTAGTTTTCTAGGAAATAAAGAACATGGGATATAAATTTGATTTTCTGTTTCTGTTCATTTCTTTTATTGTCTGTAATAATTAAACTATAGTTTGTAACGTAGTCTCTCTGTTTTCACAGCCTCGGTGTTCACTTGCTTGGCGATAGCATTGGGGTTTTACAGGTTCTGGAAGGAGAACTGACACTCCTGTTGGCTGCTGCTGATCATTCCATAGAATGTACTTAATACAGGCTCTTCAAAGAACTTGTGAACTAAATGAAGTGTTTTGGTATTTTATTTTTATGTTGTACATTTTTATGTTGAATAGCTGTCACTCAGAGCCTGGCTTGAGATAGAAGTGCACTTATCCTCTGATAATGATAGCAATAAAAACAGTTTTGCATTTGACCTTTGTAAGCAAAGTAGGATTTGTTACCAGATTACATTCTTAAAAACAGTTCTGTAGTGTCTACACTGACTGGATTTTACTTTCTTGGTTATTATTGGAATTAGATTTTTATATAAAATAAAATACTGGGGGCTGGAGAGATGGCTCAGTGGTTAAGAGCACTGACTGCTCTTCCAGAGGTCCTGAGTTCAAATCCCAGCAACCACATGGTGGCTCACAACCATCTGTAATGAGATTGGATGCCCTCTTCTGGTGTGTCTGAAGACAGCTACAGTATATTCATAAAATAAATAAATAAATAAATAAATCTTTAAAATACTGTAACAAAGGTGGTTGAGTTTTCAAAGTGACTTCCTATGTAAGTGGAGACTTTTTTTTGTAGTGAATAATTTTAAAATAATGTTATCCCGTTGTAAATGTGTTAAACTTAATATGAAATCTATAGAGTTATTCTGATTACATGTACCTTTTTAATTTCTCATGTGCAGTGTTTGAGGGGTGGATTTTGTGGTTTTGTTTGCTGCTACCAAGGATTGAACCTCAAACTTCATGCACGTTGGCTGATTAGGTGTTCCACCAACCATGCCTATGTTCCCCAGCACTTACCCTCACCTCCTGAATTACTTCATATTAACTCATCTATGTGAAACAGACTTTCCCAATGATTCATTTAAATTCAAACATCTCTTGGTGTGTGTGTGTGTGTGTGTGTGTGTGTACGTACATACATTCATATATAGTACCATCTCATAGAGAGTTGGAGATTGAAACCTTCCAGACCAGAACCAAAAAGAGGAAATTCAAATTTGTATTGTTTTCCTTTTGTTGTTATCAAGTCTTAATATTTTCCTCTTCCTTTTTTTTTTTCTTTGTGTGTGTTACGTGTGTATTCATATGGAGGCCAAATTTTACCTTTGGGTGTCTTCCTTATTCATTCTGTGTCATACTTTTTTGAGACAGGATCTCTCTTCCCTCTCCCCTCCTCCACCCCACCCCACCCCACCCCTGTTCTTGTCCCCTTTTCTTCCCCTCTCCCTTCCCACTCCCCAAACTTGGGGCTTACCTTTTCAGCTAAACTGACAAACCTCAGGTCTGTTCCTGGCCCCCAGCACTGGGATTACAGACACAGGCTGGACAAGAGCACTAGGGATGCAAACCCAGGTGCTTCAAGCTCTGTATACACTCTCCAGCCCCTCTATATTTTTCTTACATCTTAGTTCTCTATCCAGATTGATATAACCAAGAATGAACTTGGCCCTCCCAAGTGCTAGACATATCAAACAAGCATGCACTACCATGCCCAGTTTTATGTGGTGCTGGATAGTAAACCTAGAGTTTCATGCATTTCCAACTGATTTTCTCCAACTGATCTACATCCCCATCCCATCCGTGCCATTTTTAACAATTGCTTAGACTGCTGACTAGCCTGATCAGATCTTAGCAATCGGATTTTTGGGGCCAACAAATCCTGCTTACACTAGCTAGATTTAAATAGCCATCACATATCTTGCTGGCTCACCAAGAATGAATGAAATAGAATAAAAATGTTCAGGAATTTTGGTCAACAAAGGACAAAGTCTCAATTCCAGGGATTATGGGGAAAGGAGAAAAAAAAAATAGCCCTTGTGCTTTGGTCCTGCTGAGTCTGCCTCTTAACTATTTCCATAAAGCTCACAGCACAGAGCAAAGATGGAATTCGAAACCGGATTACTTACGGGTTTTCTTAGCAAACATGTAGCATGGATTTTTTTTTTGAGAGTACATTTTCACTTATATCAAGCATCTGAAGGAGACATTTGGTAATTGTAAAGCCATTTTGTTTGAAAACTTACCTTCCCCACCTACTCCCAGTCTAGATGCTTTGTAAAAGTTGGAAGTCATTTGAATAAATGTTGTTTTATTCACTTTATTCAGAGTAGGTAGTTATCTGTGTCTCTCTGTGTGTGTGTGTGTGTGTGTGTGTGTGTGTGTGTGTCTGTGTGTGTGTCTGTGTGTGTGTGTGTGTGTGACTGCCTTGAGACAGTCACTGCAAGGCCCAGCTGCCCACAAATTCATAATACTCCTCTCATCTCTTAAGTACTAGATATAGAGTTATGTACTGTAATACTTAGCAAAGGTCAGAACTCTTAAGATCATATGCACATTAGTAATAGTACATCTAGACAGTAAAATACAACTTTATTGTGAAGCCACAGTATCATTTTAATAATTATTATCTAGAATTGGATTTCCTTTGACTATTAGATTGTACTGTCTTACAGTTTACAGCTTATGTGAATACTTGTTATTGATGTTGACTTGCATATATATGTATATAAAAAGTATCCTGAGTCCGTGGAATTTTTAAGTCCCTTTGATATACAACATTTTCACCCTTAGAACTGAAGGATTTCTATCAATTCACGTATCTCTAAAGTGAAAGAAAATCAAGGCTTTATTTAACCTTACTGCACTGATTAGTACCTTCTCACAAACACGCCCCCAGGAGACACTTTTTTTTTCACTCGCCGCTTCTCTTTGCTAGACTCACACGAGTCATCTTCCTATAAAGAAAAACAGAGTCAAATAAAAGCGCCATGCTAACACTCTTCTATTTGTCCAAAAGGGGAAAAGGAGCCACACTAAGTATTTTCTGCTCTGATTAAATTTCTTTAGGATTTTGTGTAACTGTTCCTGGATCTAAAGTACTCGTGCTTCATGTTGTGCTGAATCAGTAAGACTGGGAGAGCCTTGAAAGTCAGTCAGTGCTCACTACTTGATAGAGATCCCAAAGGGAATGACTTGTCATTTCTGCTTCTGTCTCAACTAACATTCCATGGCAAAACTGCAATGTAGGGTGTGCTAAAACAACTTCATTTGGAACCTTTAAGAGCCCTATAGGGCTAGGATTTTTATTTCTTGACTTCTCCATTCACGAGTTTTTGTTTGTACAGCATTCATTAATAACTTAGGTTTCCTTTTCCATTTTGCCCGTTTTCTACCACTGCTGAATCTTGCTCATCATCTTGGTACTCACATGAGTGAACACAGGATAATCAATAAATGCTATATAAGAAGGAGCAAGGGAGGGGTCAAGAGCATAACAGATGTCCACTAGATGTTAGTCTTTGTTGAATAATTCGAGTCAAAAACGCTGTGCATACCACTCACCCCAAGGCATACTACATGCTCTGGAATAGTTGGCCAACACTAAACAGACTGTGGTTTTGTTTTGTCTTGTTTTGAGTGTGTGTGAGGGAGAGAGAAAGTGCACACAAGCATGCACTTGCACACTTGAAGTAGGTTTGGTTTGGTTTTGGGTTAGATTTTTGTTTTTTCTTTAGAAGGAAAAATATGAAGTGGGATGGGGTCCGGGAAGAGTTGAGTGGGGAGGAAAATGACAAAAATACACTGTACAAACTTTGCAGTTCAATATTACAACAAAAAAAAGCCCTATGTAGGTAAGAAAAGTGTGCACATAGATATTCCCAAAGCAGCTTTTCCAACACATGTCCTTGGGGAGAGCCTGTGGCTAGAGTGACTTCTGAAAGTCCTCCTGCCCATGCCATTGTAACATGCTAGAGTTAACTCCTGTACACTAGCACGTGAGCATGGAACATGCTACTCCAGTCCAACCTGGAAAAGTGAGGCCATGTCTCCATACCCTTCCTTCTGCTCACATTCTGAAACCTAAGTTCTTAAAGACAACTTTGTCAGAATTTTTCACAAGTGCAGTAAGAAAATGACTGAATGGCTTGTGGTGGCAGAAATGAGCGAGGGACAATGCATAGGTGGACTGGAGGTAGGCAGATTACAATCACAGCTCTAACAAGCTGCTGTCACTGTACAAACTTTAGCTGTCACTGGGTGTCTCAATTTGTAATATAAAATAGTGCATCCAAAACAAAAAGCCTTGACATTAAGCTGAATATATAATTTAATAATAATAACTATTTTAATAATGACCAAGATCTCAACATGTGTTAAATATTCTCATGAAACTTAGAATTTCAGTACTTTAAGTATTCAACCAACTCTTCCCCCCAACCCCCAAAAGAGGTGACACCTTCAAAGCAGTACAACTTGCTTAGTAGAAAGAGTATTGTGGTTAGGAGTCTTGGGACAGCAGTAACATGACTCCTAAGGGCTTTTATGGGGCAGATATGATAGGGGACCTTAAGATAGAAGAACAAAATGAACTAAACTTTGGTGCTGGGAAAGTGTTAAGTTCAAAAAGGATCATCTACACAAGGAGAATTGGCAAATGTAGGGCTGATGCCATAAATTAAAGCTGAACCCAAATTGAGGAATACACTTCATTAAGGCAAGATTTTCAGAACAAGAAATGACAGGAAAAACCAAGTTGACTGTTTACTCAAATGAATTTGGACAGGGAAGGACGAGATGTCTGAATTCTGTGTTAAGAGTCTACAGTTTATGGATGAAAGGAGAAAGAAATGTACGAAAAGATTCAAGAATCCAAAACTGGCCCCGCCTAGTGGTTCACAACCTTACTCCTTTATCCTAGCACCTGGGAGGCGGGGAACAGCATGATCTACATAATGAGTTCTGGGCCAGCAAGGGTTACATATACCCTGTCTTCAAAACAAACAAAAAAATCTAGGCAGTTAAAAAAATAGATCTGGGGGCCAGACAATGGTAGCAAATGCCTTTAATCCCAGCACTTGGGAGGCAGAGGCAGGCGGATTTCTGAGTTCGAGAGTTCGAGAGTTCGAGGCTAGCCTTGTCTACAGAGTGAGTTCCAGGATAGCCAGGGCTACACAGAGAAACCCTGTCTCGAAAAAACAAAAAAAAAAAAAAAAAAGATCTGGGGGCCAGACAGTGGTAGCAAATGCCTTTAATCCCAACACACAGGCAGCAGAGGGATGCAGATCACTACGAGTTCGAGACCAGCTTGTTCTACAGAGTGAGTTCCAGGACAGTCAGGGCTACACAGAAAAAACTTTGTCTGGAAGGAAAGATGGAAGGAAGGAAGGAAGGAAGGAAGGAAGGAAGGAAGGAAGGAAGGAAGG